GATTAGTCAAAGAACTCATATTCATAAATGCATAACCCATGGACACAGACAGTAATATGGGGAAGACCTGGGGGTGGGGCAGATACAGGATGGAGGGGATCAATGGAGGGGAAAAAGGGGACATCTGTAATACTTTCAACAATAAAGATATATTTAAAAAATAAATAAAATAAAATAAAATGCCCTCCCTCGCCCCCCCCAAAATCCTCTTTTCTGCCTATTCATTCCCCCACCCCCAACCAATGATCTTAACTGTGTCCATGGTTTTGCCTTTTCTGGAATCTCATTGTTGGAATCCTACAGTACGTAGCCTTCTCTGATTGGCTTCTTTAACTGTAATATGCACTTAAGCTTTCTCTATGTCTTTTCATGTCTTGACAGCTTATTTTCTTTTAGCACTTACTAACATTCCATTGTCTTGATGTACTAGTTTATTCGTTCACCCACTGAAGGAAAGATAGCTTAGTTGCTGCCAAGTTTTGTCAATTATAAAGAAAGCTGCTATAAACATCCATGTGCAGGTTTTTGTATAGACAAGTTTTCAGCTTCTTTGGGTAAACACTAAGGAGCATGATTGCTGGATTATACGGTAAGAGTGTATTCAGTTTTGTAAGAAACTGCCCTGCTGTTTTCCAGAGTAACTACTGTTTTGCATACTAGTAGCAGTGTATGAGAGTTTCTGTTGTTCCACATCCTTGCTGTTATTTGGTGTTGGTCAGTATTCCAGATTTTGGCCATTCTAATAGGTGTGCAGTGGTATTTCATTGTTTTAATTAGTATTCCCCTGAATGATATATGATGTAAAGCATCTTTTCCTTTCTCTAGTCAGGGGTGGGGAAACTGTTTCTGCCAAGGGCCATTTGGATATTTATAACATCATTTTCGGGCCATCCAAAATTAGCACCTTAAAAATTAGCTATGAAAAAAGCTCCTAAATTTATTGACTTTTGAGTCCCGCCTGTGGGTGCCTTGGCAGGACCAGACCAAATGATTTCATGGGCCATACACAGCCTGAAGGCTAGATGTTTCCCACCCCTGCTCTAGGTCATTTTGGCTCTGATAATACCCCATTAGGTTAGGCTCTGATTAACTAGTTTCTGTAGAGGGCAGTCCTTGTTAAGGACCTAGTACTCTGGCATATTTTTAAGTGACTTCTTTTTCCTTCCCCCTTACCTGAAGCATGAAGAGATTTTTTTTCTGCAATATTTACTGTGGGAACCTGGTCAAATTTCTGGAAATATGTCTCAAAATACTTTGGAGGCTCCCTGTGACTGGTTCCACCTAGAGTTTTTTAATTCTTTGAGTTCTCCATACTGAGTCTCCAGCAATTCATCAACTGCAGTTCAGGTTTTCCAACCTTGGCACTGGTGTGTACAGTAGTTTTCCTTTCCCAGTTCTCTCCTCTGGTAAGCTGTGACTCCCTGTATTCACGTGTCTGTCTTCCCAATCTTGTGGGCAGCGGTTCGCTCTGTGTCCTGCTGCTCTCTTTTACATATCCAAGAACAGTTGCTGAGTTTTCAGTTCAGCTTTTTACTTGTTGTTAGCCAAATTCCTTTCTTGGGGAACCAGAAACCCCTAACACTTCATAGATTTTTTTAATATGGAAATCAACATGTGAATAGGATTTTTAGTGAATTAATCTATTTCAAGTCAGATCTAATAGTTGTATATTTTCTTTGATGTGAGTGGACTGGAGTAGTAGGAAATGCAAAGTGAAATTGTTTTCATTAATTTTTTATTTTCAATTTGAAAAATACTCTAAAATTATATCGATTGCTAATATTTATTTCTTCTTTTTTCATGCAGATTTGAAACCATAATTGATTCGTTTCATGTTACTGGCCTACCAGACAATTCAATAAAACCCCGCCTCTTGTCTTCATTGGATAATGCTACATCACTTTTCCAGATTACATTTGAGACAAATCCATTAGATGAAACTGTTGCTCAGAGGTGTATCATAGAAGCTGAACCTTTAGAAATGATATATGATGCAGTAAGCATTTTTTAAATTTCTAAATTTTAACTAAATATTTCAATTTGGTTTGATTTTGTGCCTAATTTTAATGATACTTGTTTTACCAGAGAACAGTGAATAGTATAGTGGAATTCTTCAGACCTCCAAAAGAGGTAAATCTAGCACAGCTCACTTCAGCAACTTTGACAAAACTTGAAGAATTTCGTGATAAAACAGCAACAGGTAAAAATGCCAGTATTAATTTTGGTCAATTAAATACTGAATCCTATACTAAACTTTTAGGCATTTAAAGATGATTTTAGTAATGTATTGCTTAAATTTCTATCTAGACTAAATACAATTTAATTGAAACTAATTTTGTACTTTTATATTTAAATTCAGATGTAACAATAATTATTTCTTACACTTAGGTGAAACCTATTAACCACATTCAAGTTAATTACAAAATTTTGTTAGGATTTTTGAAATTCTGCTTATGACAGAAACTGGTCTTTGAATTCTTTTATAAAATCATAGGGTCTCTTGCAGTTGTCTTTTTGGTTTAATTACTGCTCTTTTGCGATTCAGCTCTCTTGTGATGTTTCCTAACTTCTCCCTGTTCTGAACTAAATGATTGATTAACTGCACATGCTGCTAATTTTTTCGTTTTCATCCTCACCCGAGGACATTTTTTCCATTGCTTTGCAGAGAGAGTGGAAGGGAGAGAGAGAAAGAAACATGAATGTGAGAGAGACACATGGAACCGGGGACCCTTCAGTCCGAGGGCCGGCTCTCTAACCATTGAGCGACCCAGCTAGGGCTACTGCACATGCTTTTGACTGCAGTATGAGATTATTCACATTAAGTAAACTACATCATTTAAATTTTTTCAATTTAGCTATTCAGAATTTTACATATTAGTTTGTTATTGTCATTTTTATTTTCTCACAATTCACATTAAAAAATCTGGTCCTCATGATAGTTCTTGTATGGGTTTTGTTGTTGTCTTTTGTGAACTAAGGTACCTTTCTGTTTGAATATCAGATGCCCTAAACTTTATAAATTAACACTGTTTATTCATTCAAACTGATTCAGTGGCTGCTTACAGAGTTTCATCGCTAAGGAGTAGTTCCCATCTCATGGAGTCATTATAACTTGATATTTGATAATAATTTTAGACTTAAAAGCCAAAAATAGATTTGAGATAATAAAATAGATTAATTTGGTATATAAATCACATGAAAGTGAAGGGATTAAATTTATTAGAATAAAACACCTTAAGTGAATGAAATACCTGAGGAATGGAGAACTCTGGTTTGTTGCCTTTTCTCCTTTACATATGGTTTTATTGAAGATGATTTAATAATCAAGGAATTTTCCTTGTTTCAGTAATATCATAAGGATCAAAAAATCATTGTTCAGTATGGTAGATGTAGCTGTATTAAGTTCATGATTTGGAAAGAATTATACCGATTCTAATATAGGAGTTAAGAATAAATGTTTCATAAACTTAATTTTTTTAGATCTGTTATCTCCTGAGTTTTACCTACATTGATTTTATGGGTTAAAAACATTTATTTGAGGAATTATTCTAATTTTGTGTTCAGTTATATTTAATTAGGAGTGTACACATTGACTAACAAATATTTTTACTTGATATTGAAAATAATTTGCTCAAGGTCATTTTAAAATGAATTCTAATTTCACATTACTTTAAGATTGTGCTACCAATTCATACATTTAATAATTCTCTATTTGGGTATTTTGTGAAAAAATTTATTGTGAAGATTTAAATTTTCTGCAGGTCTACTGTATATTATTGAAACACAGAAAGTTCTTGATCTCAGAATTAATTTGAAAGCTTCATATGTTATTATCCCACAAGATGGAATTTTTAGCCCCACATCAAATCTGCTTCTTTTGGATCTTGGTCATTTACAGGTATATAATAATATTTATCTTGAAACATAGCATTTAGGGTATATTTTTGTTTAAAATGTATTTTGTTTTTTAGACAGTTTGATTTGGTATATTAGTTTTGTAGACCTACGGTAAATACTAGGATTTGAGAAGTCTTTTCTGGTGAATAAAGTGAAGTTTCATTTAATTAGGTAGTTTTCCTACATTTCTAGTAGCAAAATGAACAATTGAACTTTGCAGGTCAGGGGTAAACCTAAGATTTAACATTTATATGTAAAATTTGAGAGTAATGCTTAAGGAGTTTATTTTATTTTCAATTTAAGATTATTCCTGAATTAATTACAATATATAGAATGTGAGGGAGTTCTGGAAGTAATCAAATCCATCTTTGTCCTTCTGAAATTTTTTTGTGTGTATAACTTTAGATACTCATGTTTTAATATTCCTGTTAAATAATCCTAAATTAAGAGATGGTCATTTTGCATTTGTCTAATTTACATAATTCTATCCAGTTATGTACATTTTTCTTCCTTAGTTTTGAGTAGAGAATAATTCTTTTGTATTTCCATATCTGCACTGTTCACATGTCACCCACTGACTATGTACAGTTGATTAAGTTGATTAAAATAAAGTAAGGTAAAAATTCATTTCCTTAGTCACATTAGCCACATTCAAATGTTTAATAGTCACAAGTGGCTAGTGGCTACTGTATCAGACAGCACAGATGGAGAACAAGTTTATCATTGTAGCCAGTTCTATTGGATAGCATTGTTGTATATCATTAAATGTAGAGGAGTAGCTATAATAACAGTTTAAAGACCCAAGAGGGATGGATAATATTTGAATGCTCTTTCTGGCTACCTAATAAATATGTGCCTTTCCTTGACATTGGCATTCCCCTTTGTTCTATGTTTTACTCTTCAGTTGGTAATTATAAAGACAGCTGCTGGATTTACAGTTATAATATTTATAGAGTTAATTATTCATATTTTAATTTGGTTATGGAATTGGTTCAAGGCAGTCTGATATAGTGGAAAGAGTATAACGTGTCAGGAGTAAGGTACCAATCTAGTTTTGTGATCTTAGTTTGCTTAATCTTTTGCTTAAAATTCATTACCTTTCAAAGAGAGAGAATCAGTTTTGATTGTGTACACTTGAGCTACATAAACTAGAGGGGATATGTTAAAAATCTATACACATGTACATATGAGTAAATAAGATCTTTATATACTGCTGTGGAGTGATCTCCATGATATTTAAGTGAACAGAAGTCGTGTGCAAAGTACATCAATAAAGGGGAAATACAAATATAACTTGCTTAGGGTCACATAAATGACAGAGTTGGGACTAAAATTCAGCTATCCTAATATTTAATCCTGGACTTTTAGTTCTTATTATAAAACTATCTAAATACCTGTCATCATGTCAAAAAAATGTTTTATAAGCTGTATTTGTCTCATTTTTAATAAGACTTCTTATCAGATTTTCAAATAATTTAGATGTAGCATTCTTCAGGATTGGCTTTGTTCCATTCTTTTAATATAAATAATTAGGAAATATAACTTAATATATAAAAATTCACACCTTATATTTAACCTTCTCATTATACATGTCATGGATAAAGACATTTCTTTTTTTTGTTTGTTAATCTTCACCTGAGGATATTTTTTCCATTGATTTTTAGAGAGTAGAAGGTAGCAGGGAGGGACAGAGAGAGAAAAGGAAAGAAATATCGATGTGAGAGAGATGACACACTGATTGGTTGTCTCCAGTGCTCATCCTGACTGGGGCAGGGGATCAAACCTGCGATCCAGGCTTCATTCCCTTGACCGGGAATTGAACTCGAGCCTTAGGTGTGGGTAGACCAACGCTCTAACCACTGAGAACACCGACCAGAGCTAAAGACATTTCTGATAGCATTATGTCAGCTTGTGAGTTTATACTCTCCTATTAACTTTTTATGTGATATTCTGAAAGATAAAAACCTTAGCTTTTCATTTTGAAGTATTTTACATAGTCTAAACTATTAAAATTAACTTCAAGGTGACAAGTAAAAGTCGTACAGAATTAACAGATATGAAACAAGGTGAAGCCAGACTTGAAGAGATAATGCATAGAGCTTATGATTCCTTTGATATTCACCTTACAAGCATACAGCTGCTTTACAGCAGTGTTGGTAAGTATACAGTGCATTATTTATTGTTCATTTTGCTGAAGTGATTCATTAGGTTTTTAGACAGTTTCTCTGAAAACCTTCATTTAAAATATGTTAGAACTTTCTTTTTTTAATATTTGACTTCAGAGAGAGAATGTGAGAGAGATAGAACCATCAATGATGAGAATCATAGATTGGCTGCCTCCTGCACGCCCCCTACTGGGGATTGAGCCTGCATCCTGGGCATGTGCCCTGACCGGGAATTAAATCCTGACCTCCGGGTTCATTGGTTGGTGCTCAACCACTTAGACACAAGATAGGCAGAACATTCATACATATATATATA